AGAGGAAGGGTCACCATACGGACTGACACCGTTGTTTGGTAGATTGACCAATGCAATTTCCGGCGTATCGAAAGTTCCTTTCCAGAGCTCGTTATTGGGGGGTGCCACCAGAGGGACAGCGCAGCTGTTCTGGTCCGGTAGTAATGCAGGAGAAGTCGAGTCAAAAGTTTGAACAAAGCCGTATGGTAAATTCGCATATGGAGGTTGAAGATACTGATTTCCATAATTCACGCCGAAATTACCGTACTGTGTTCCACTCATGCCAGTACCTGCACCGGAATCCGGAGCATACATGTAGTTTGAACTGTTTTGATAAGTGTTATCGTAAGCTGACACTTGAAGCGGACTATCCCAATACGAATATGGGGGCGTGGTATTCATTGAGAGTGGGGTCGGTATCATCATAGAGAAAGGGTATATTCTCGTACTTTGCGACCTTGTAGTTTGACCTTGGTAGCAAGATTTTTGTCGGGATTATATAGTCGTGGAAGTACCACTGCGGGGGGATGAACGCCGGCGGGCGACTTCACCAAGCCGGGTCATGGTGATCCATTGGTTTTGTCGACCGATCTTGATATACGTGTCAGTAGAGATTTGACCAAGGCTGTTGATCAATGCTAGGGTCTTCCAAGGTGAGGAGGTGAGGAGCGTTGACTCGGCCGATTGAATGGCACTGCGTCAGGGCGGGGTAGGGGATGGTACCCTTTCAAGCCTCAGATTGAAAACTGTGGGGGTTGACCAGACGGCGGTGCAGGGGGATGTACCCCCGTCGACAAAGTCGATCAGTGGAGGGGCCCGACCATGGGCAGAGAGGTTCAAGTACTTATTATGAGTTAGAAGGAAAATAAATAAATAATAAATCCGGGTTTCAATCGTGCTTCCAAAGGCTCTGAAGAAAACCAATGAAAAAAAAGCGGCGTAATGAACGGATTCTGAGCTTATTTTGCGCGGGGTGGGGTTACCCTCAGAGTGAACGCAGCTATCCTGTACGCCTTTCTCTAATCAGAATAAAGTGAAAGTCAGAAGTGCGATGGTTCGTGAAGGTGTACTGCACGGTGCTCCGCTGTGGGCCAAATTTCATCGCACACTGACCTTGCGCCCAATTGTAAGGGACAAATCAGTCTCGCCTAGGAAATAAGGACGCTTCCACATTGATGCCCGTCTGGTAAGCATACTGGTCTGCCTGCGTCATTGAGCAGTCTGAAGGTAATCGTGGCTGGGTCGAAGCTGTCGACAACTACGTTACCAAATAGTCGCAGTGGCTATTTCCGTAGTGCCACGAATACTCTAGCTCTGATTTTAATGCTCTCTTGTACATCGGTCATAAATTGACCATTTTAGAACGCCTCAATGAAGCTTTATACTTCGTAATGTAGTTTGAGAATGTCCATTCAGAAAATTGAATGCAATACAAGTCATAATGAATAATATAATAGGTGGTGTTATGAGTTAATTCCAACAGCAGCAGCGGCACAGCTCCGCTTATGCCTCGCAATGTTCTGTTTCGAACGCAATTGGCGACTATACCGTATATAAGCTCGATATAGATTTCAATGAGGTCTGAGTACGCACCAAATAGGGCACACTACCGTTCGCTTAGCGAGCGGTATGCAGTGCCGTCGCAAAAGGTCCTTTGATGTGTACACCTTTGTACTAGCAAGGCAGTTACAGTTAGGATTAGCCACACCAGTGGATATAGAGCTACGTACCAATCCTCTATCCCACAAAGCCCGCCACAAAGAAAAGGGCCGGTGTTCAGATGCCTAAGCATGCACGCATTTGCTTGAGTTTGTGTCGGAAACGTCTTAGCGCAGGACTTGCATGGAAAGTTACCCGTCTGCGTGTCGTCGTCAGGCGCTCGTGATATTGCTGTCGAGGTGTAATTTATAGCTTCACTGTGCAGGCTGAGGCTGTGATTTGACGGGCTACCCCATGAGAGTGAAGGAGTATTCGACATTTCATCCAGATAGGTGTCACTGAGAGACGACATATAGGGAGAGAACTTGCCATAATGTGCAGATACACCGAGGTTAGCTAAAGGACTCTTTTCGGGCGCTTGGGCGAAGAAGCATAGAGAATGTAGCACTTGGAAATGGGTTTCTGAGACATCCCTGTCTCGCGAAAGACTATTATTGGAGTTAGGGCCCAAGCATATGGCTGGTTCCATGTCATCATCGAGAACGGGTTGAGAGCTCTCTAGATACGGACAATCTAATGCCTTGTGATGGGTTATATCGTTCCAAGCTGAGTATATAGGTGCGGTATTCATCGTAACCAGGAATAGACCACAACCGAAATGGAGAGGGTCGAGATCGAGACGAACTACTGTAGTGGATGATGATGCTGGAGGTGATGATGGAGATGGGCCTTTATAAAAGGTCGAATATAAAGAAATTGACATAGGATTTAATATGGCAAGTTAAGGCTGAGCTGAGGACTGAATGAACCACCGCCTCGGAACGATCCACAAACTTGACTTGTTGACTTTAGGGCATTGAACGGCTTTTCCGAGCATGATAGCGATGCAGCGCATGCATTGGTCCGATCATCTTTTCAATGTATAGTGCCCTTGCTGTTCGTTAGTTGTGACTTGTAACTTGTGACTAGTGCTGTCTTTAAGTCTCCACTTGCCACCAGCTAATTCAGACCGACACCGCATCAGCATATTCCTAACTCGAATACGAAAGGAGGAGAATATAGCCAAACAAGTACACATATACCTCTGGGATTAGGATCGATGTTTTAGGTCCTGTGATAGGCTAGGTGAGTCCTGCTAGTGCGGTGTTAAATTGGACACGGACCCATTCTAATCAAAATATCAGTTTAGAACGCTTCAAACGAGCGAGCGGCAGATGGTCAAGAAGAGGACTGCCGGCAATTGGATCGGAATGTCATGGGTCGCTGACCATCACCCCACCGGATCCAGAGTTTGCGCTCTCTAACAATCGTTCAAAGTCTACTCTTGGTGGTGCCATGGAATCACTAGACATATTAATAAATAGCGATGATATTGCATATAGGTAAATAACTCAGCATACGGCTGTTCCAAGAATGATACACTGAATGTCCATGATATAGAAGCGAATGAAGGGAATGATACGAAATGAAAGATGGGATATTTATCCGAATTTTATTTTGTGGTTCTAAACACACTTTCTTTGGTGCCTCGCGAAGTTGTGTTTTGAACGAAACTGGTTACTACAAGAATGGGCGTCAGCAAACTCTTGTCGATAGCTCTCCAGGAAGGGAATGTACATACCACCTTGGGCATATCACAGTTTTATCTTGGAGAGGAGTACAATGGCGTGTTAAAAGAGCCCGAGATGCGTAGGATTTTAGGCTAAGTAGGTGCCAAAGCTCAGCGACTTTACTACTATCGTTATCAAAATGGAACCCACCAGAACATTTCACCGCAAGCTCCATTGCAAGTGAATGGCTTGACATTCAAGTGATAAACGTTGGCGTGTGTGACTGCACGAGTACGGTTGCTGAATCCTTTTTGGCATAGCAAGCACCCGTACTTGTACCTTCTATTAACGCCTATGGGCGATAACATTGTCGAAAGTACAGACGATGCGGTGTCAAAACACATGCTACTGTGGTTGACTATGGGTTGACCGGAGGTGTCGTTCCACGGAAACAGTAACTCGTGTGTGTTTTCCGTATAGGGCTTCTCCGAAGGGGTCTCGGAATCCGTGCTTGGGGGTGGAGGTGATGCAAGGGCAGTTGGATTATAAACGAGCG